CTTCACCTACATCAAGGAACCATCACTGAGGTAAGAGTCCTTCACCTACATCAAGGAAACATAATTGAGGTAAGAGTCCTTCACCTACATCAAGGAATCCTCACTGAGGTAAGTCCTTCACCTACATCAAGGAACCATCACTGAGGAAAGTCCTTCACCTACATCAAGGAACCATAACTGAGGTAAGAGTCTTTCACCTACATCAAGGAACCATCACCAAGGTAAGTCCTTCATTAACATCAAGGAACCATCATCTGAGGTAAGTCTTCACCACATAAGAACCATCGTGAGTAAGTCCTTCACCTACATCAAGGAGCCATCACTGAGGTAAGAGTCCTTCACCTACATCAAGGAACCATCACTGAGGTAAGTCCTTCAGCTACATCAAGGAACCATCACTGAGGTAAGTCCTTCACGTACATCAAGGAACCATAACTGAAGTAAGAGTCCTTCACATACATCAAGGAATCATCACTGAGGTAAGTCCTTCACCAACATCAAGGAACCATCACTGAGGTAAGAGTCCTTCACTTACATCAAGGAAACATCATTGAGGTAAGAGTCCTTCACCTACATCAAGGAACCATCACTGAGGTAAGTCCTTCACCAACATCAAGGAACCATCACTGAGGTAAGCCCTTCACCCACATCAAGGAACCATCACTGAGGTAAGAGTCCTTCACCTACATCAAGGAACCATCACTGAGGTAAGAGTCCTTCACCTACATCAAGGAACCATCACTGAGGTAAGAGTCCTTCACCTACATGAAGGAACCATCACTGAGGTAAGAGCCCTTCACCTACATGAAGGAACCATCACTGAGGTAAGAGTCCTTCACCTACATCAAGGAACCATCACTGAGGTAAGTCCTTCACCAACATCAAGGAACCATCACTGAGGTAAGTCCTTCACCTACATGAAGGTACCATCACTGAGGTAAGAGTCCTTCACCTACATCAAGGAACCATCACTGAGGTGAGTCCTTCACCAACATCAAGGAACCATCACTGAGGTAAGTCCTTCAGCTACATCAAGGAACCATCACTGAGGTGAGTCCTTCACCAAATCAAGGAACATCACTGAGGTAAGTCCTTCACCTACATCAAGGAACCATCACTGTGGTAAGAGTCCTTCACCTACATCAAGGAACATCATCTGAGGTAAGTTCTTCACCTACATCAAGGAATCATCATGAGGTAAGAGTCCTTCACCTACATCAAGGAAACCATCACTGAGGTTAGAGTCTTCACCTACATCAAGGAACCATCACTGAGGTAAGAGTCCTTCACCTACATCAAGGAACCATCACTGAGGTAAGAGTCCTTCACCTACATCAAGGAACCATCACTGAGGTAAGAGTCCTTCACCTACATCAAGGAACCATCACTGAGGTAAGTCCTTCAGCTACATCAAGGAACCATCACTGAGGTAAGTCCTTCACGTACATCAAGGAACCATAACTGAAGTAAGAGTCCTTCACATACATCAAGGAATCATCACTGAGGTAAGTCCTTCACCAACATCAAGGAACCATCACTGAGGTAAGTCCTTGACCTATATCAAGGAACCATCACTGAGGTAAGAGTCCTTCACTTACATCAAGGAAACATCATTGAGGTAAGAGTCCTTCACCTACATCAAGGAACCATCACTGAGGTAAGTCCTTCACCAACATCAAGGAACCATCACTGAGGTAAGCCCTTCACCCACATCAAGGAACCATCACTGAGGTAAGAGTCCTTCACCTACATCAAGGAACCATCACTGAGGTAAGAGTCCTTCACCTACATGAAGGAACCATCACTGAGGTAAGAGTCCTTCACCTACATGAAGGAACCATCACTGAGGTAAGAGTCCTTCACCTACATGAAGGAACCATCACTGAGGTAAGAGTCCTTCACCTACATCAAGGAACCATCACTGAGGTAAGTCCTTCACCAACATCAAGGAACCATCACTGAGGTAAGTCCTTCACCTACATGAAGGTACCATCACTGAGGTAAGAGTCCTTCACCTACATCAAGGAACCATCACTGAGGTGAGTCCTTCACCAACATCAAGGAACCATCACTGAGGTAAGTCCTTCAGCTACATCAAGGAACCATCACTGAGGTGAGTCCTTCACCAATATCAAGGAAACATCACTGAGGTAAGTCCTTCACCTACATCAAGGAACCATCACTGTGGTAAGAGTCCTTCACCTACATCAAGGAACGATCACTGAGGTAAGTTCTTCACCTACATCAAGGAAATCATTGAGGTAAGAGTCCTTCACCTACATCAAGGAACCATCACTGAGGTTAGAGTCTTTCACCTACATCAAGGAACCATCACTGAGGTAAGAGTCCTTCACCTACATCAAGGAACCATCACTGAGGTAAGAGTCCTTCACCTACATCAAGGAACCATCACTGAGGTAAGTCCTTCACCTACATCAAGGAACCATCACTGAGGTAAGAGTCCTTCACCTACATCAAGGAACCATCACTGAGGTAAGTCCTTCACCTACATCAAGGAACCATCACTGAGGTAAGAGTCCTTCATCTACATCAAGGAACCATCAATGAGGTAAGAGTCCTTCACCTACATCAAGGAACCATCACTGAGGTAAGTCCTTCATCTACATCAAGGAACCATCACTGAGGTGAGTCCTTCACCAATATCAAGGAAACATCACTGAGGTGAGTCCTTCACCTACATCAAGGAACCATCACTGTGGTAAGAGTCCTTCACCTACATCAAGGAACGATCACTGAGGTAAGTTCTTCACCTACATCAAGGAATCATCATTGAGGTAAGAGTCCTTCACCTACATCAAGGAACCATCACTGAGGTTAGAGTCCTTCACCTACATCAAGGAACCATCACTGAGGTAAGAGTCCTTCACCTACATCAAGGAACCATCACTGAGGTAAGAGTCCTTCACCTACATCAAGGAACCATCACTGAGGTAAGTCCTTCACCTACATCAAGGAACCATCACTGAGGTAAGTCCTTCACCTACATCAAGGAACCATCACTGAGGTAAGTCCTTCACCTACATCAAGGAACCATCACTGAGGTAAGAGTCCTTCATCTACATCAAGGAACCATCAATGAGGTAAGAGTCCTTCACCTACATCAAGGAACCATCACTGAGGTAAGTCCTTCATCTACATCAAGGAACCATCACTGAGGTAAGTCCTTCATCTACATCAAGGAATCATCACTGAGGTAAGTCCTTCACCTACATCAAGAAACCATTACTGAGGTAAGAGTCCTTCACCTACATCAAGGAACCATCACTGAGGTAAGTCCTTCACCTACATCAAGGAACCATCACTGAGGTAAGAGTCCTTTATCTACATCAAGGAACCATCAATGAGGTAAGAGTCTTTCACCTACATCTAGGAACCATCACTGAGGTAAGAGTCCTTCATCTACATCAAGGAACCATCACTGAGGTAAGAGTCCTTCACCTACATCAAGGAACCATCAATGAGGTAAGAGTCCTTCACCTACATCAAGGAACCATCACTGAGGTAAGTTCTTCACCTACATCAAGGAACCATCACTGAGGTAAGAGTCCTTCACCTACATCAAGGAACCATCACTGAGGTGAGAGTCATTCACCTACATCAAGGAATCATCACTGAGGTAAGTCCTTCACCAACATCAAGGAACCATCACTGAGGTAAGTCCTTCACTTACATCAAGGAAACATCATTGAGGTAAGAGTCCTTGACCTACATCAAGGAACCATCACTGAGGTAAGTCCTTCACTTACATCAAGGAAACATCATTGAGGTAAGAGTCCTTCACCTACATAAAGGGAAAACATCACTGAGGTAAGAGTCCTTCACCTACATCAAGGAACCATCACTGAGGTAAGAGTCCTTCACCTACATCAAGGAACCATCATTGAGGTAAGTCCTTCAACTACATGAAGGTACCATCACTGAGTAGTCTTACCTACATAGGAGCCTCCTGAGTTAAGCTCACCAACATCAAGGAACCATCAGAGGTAAGTCCTTCAGCTACATCAAGGAACCATCACTGAGGTAAGTTCTTGACTTACATCAAGGAACCATCACTGAGGTAAGAGTCCTTCACCAATATCAAGGAAACATCACTGAGGTAAGTCCTTCACCTACGTCAAGGAACCATCACTGAGGTAAGAGTCCTTCACCTACATCAAGGAACCATCACTGAGGTAAGAGTCCTTCACCTACATCAAGGAACCATCACTGAGGTAAGTCCTTCACCTACATCAAGGAACCATCACTGAGGTAAGAGTCCTTCACCTACATCAAGGAACCATCACTGAGGTAAGTCCTTCACCTACATCAAGGAACCATCACTGAGGTAAGTAATTCACCTACATCAAGGAACCATCACTGAGGTAAGAGTCCTTCATTTACATCAAGGAACCATCACTGAGGTAAGTCCTTCACCTACATCAAGGAACCATCACTGAGGTAAGAGTCCTTCACTTACATCAAGGAACCATCACTGAGGTAAGTCCTTCATCTCCATCAAGGAACCATCACTGAGGTAAGAGTCCTTAACCTACATCAAGGAACCATCAGAGGTAAGAGTCCTTCACCTACATCAAGGAACCATCACTGAGGTAAGAGTCCTTCACCTACATCAAGGAACCATCACTGAGGTAAGAGTCCTTCACCTACATCAAGGAACCATCACTGAGGTAAGTTCTTCACCTACATCATGGAACCATCACTGAGGTAAGTTCTTCACCTACATCAAGGAACCATCACTGAGGTAAGTCCTTCACTAACATCAAGGAACCATCACTGAGGTAAGTCCTTCACTAACATCAAGGCACTCCCACTTGTACTACAAGGTGTAGAAACACGTTATTGCTACCTGTATGGGTGACGGAGATCAACTTTTCTTGACTTGCGGAACAAGAGGAATAAGATAAAGAATAAGATAATCAAAATGATAAGATAAAGATGCTAAGATAGTCTGATGCTGGAGGCAGAGCTCAATGACATACTTTTTTTGTGGCGGCTGGATGGACACCCTGCTGGCCATGATGTTGGCCACTCAGTGGGCCATGATGCAGGTGGTGGTCACTCAGTGGGTGGTGCTGCAGGTGGTGTTGACTGAGTGGGTAACATAGTGGAGGGTGTAACACTGTAGACGCCACCACTGCTACACTCACCATCAACCTCCACCACCTCCTCCTACAGCCATAAATCAAATATTGATTTTAAACATTTTGCCATCAGTGGGATTAAGAATACTGTTTCGATATCAGTGAAGAAGCGATATATTTTTTAAAGTCCATATTAAGCGGAGCGTATTTGTCAAGCATTATAGTAAGATTTTAGGTGTTATTTATTTTACCCCACAGTGAGATTTTTATTGGTTTTGGTAAAAAGAATCATTCATGTGAAAAGTAGGTCTGGTGTAGCTAATTTTTTTATTGTTATTGTGGAAGTAAGAGTAATTATTTTTATTTTTCTAAAAGATAATTTTTTTTTTAAATGACGATACGTAATGGATTTATGTAGAAAAAAATGTAAATAATAATTAGTAATCTAATGAACTATTACGTAGATATTATAATTGTCATATTTGAAGAAGAATAATACACTGCCTTGAGAGATACAAGTGTATGGCTTATATATTATATATAATTTCATTATTTTATATGATTATGAAAATATATTACGTCAATTCATAAAACCTACAGAAAACAATATTTTTTTTTCATGAAGCAAAAATGAGCTGTAATATAAGTGGGGTTAGCAATTTATCCTGAATATTATCGGGGACAACGAAAAATTACGCCATCTTCACTTCAGAGACTCGGCATAAAACATTTTTTACCTATCCTTTATACACATAAGAGAGTAGGAATCTCCCTGCATTTAATATATTATTTAAAATTTGACAATTTTTAATATTTTTTGTAATGTTATAAATACGGTATTGCATTCAACAGGTTTATATAAAAAAGATAGTTTGAGCCAGCGGGAGTGTACAAGGCGGAGCCTAACAAGCTTGTTGGTTTCTGTGTTTTGAGGTGTAGCGGTAATATATTACTCGTTAATTATCTTCAGGAGAGAGACATCAGTGAGAAGAAGGTAAGAGGCACATGACTGGGAGTAATCAGTTGACATTAATAGTGAAGGAGGCGCCATAAAGCACTGGAGACGTGGACAATGGCTGCAATGTTTTTGTCTGGATGTTACCTGTCATCTTGACTAACAAACTCACTTCAGCACTGTAAAGTTCATGTCACTGGTAATGGTCAATTTAAATAGCATGTTCCCAAGATTTACGTTATTCGTGTAAGCCAAGATGAATTGCAACATCTGCATATGCTAAATGTTGAAGACAGATTAACGTTAAATCACGTTTATAAAGTTTGCTGACCACCAGTGATCACAATATCTGCCAACATTATCAAGGCTGCAACTGTTATATCGCTGTATAGCCCTTGTGGCTTAGCGCTTCTTTTTGATTATAATAATAATAATGCAACTGTTATAATATGCGATATCCATACTGTATAGACTTCTTCACAGAATACTAGTTCAACTTACTGATCCCCCTCTAGTATCTAGCCTGTTTCTAGTTTTGTAACAGTTTGTCAAAAATAAAATCAAGTCCAGTTATCCCTTAAATTGAGTGAAAGGTTAATTGTGCTTTGAAATTCCAACAGGATGATATTAAACCAATGAAATAAAATTTAAGATCTGTAATATGAAAAGTTGTCTAGGTGGATATTATTAACCCATTACCTGTCCAACCGTAGATATACGTTCGCTCGCTCAGCACTGAATATTTTGAAAAAAAAAAATTAAATTAAAGAGGGCAAAAAAAAGAGCAAAAAAAAAAAAAAAAAAAAAAAAAGCAAAAAAAAAAAAAATTTAGGACCATTACTTACGAAGATATAAGACAGCAAAATTGGCTCTGGTTGCTCATGTGATGGCAACATGGAGTCCTGCCACTTGCAAAAGTGTTGCCAATATACCTTTTTCTCATTTTTATGGAGTATAACTTTTATGCTCTGATAATTATAATTTAGAGTAGTTCTTGTGATTTCATAGCCAATCTTTGTTCTGACACTAATATTAGATACTGAAATTGTACTCAAATTGTCACAAAAACACTGACACATCTACATAGGTCATTTTCTGTTGTGTAGGAATATATACAAAGTATTTATAAGTCCCAGCACTGTTTTAGACATGCTGGAGTATATATGAAACTCCTTGAAGCATGGTGCTAAGACGAGTGTTACTAAACTGCAGACAGGGTAAGCAGTGGAGTGACATGAAGATCATGCACTGCTGCATAGAGCCTTGGCTTTATTTGTTTTCACTGTTACACATAAACGTGTCTGTCTAGCTATGTCTATTTATCTGTCTTGCTGTCTGCACATAAACGTGTCTGTCTAGCTATGTCTATTTATGTCTTGCTGTCTGCCTGTGTGTGTGTGTATGTCTTTCTGTCTGCCTTTGTGTGTCTTGTCTTTCTGTCTGCCCGTGTGTTTCTGTCTTCCTGTGTGTGTGTCTGTCTTTGTCTGCCTGTGTGTGTGTGTGTGTGTGTGTGTGTGTGTGTGTGTGTTTGTGTGTGTTTGTCTGCCTGTCTGCTTATCTCTCTTGTCTCAGAAAGTTGCTCCTGAACCAACTGGTATTACACACGATCACATCCGATTCCTGAACAAGTGAAAATGCGTATTAGTTGCCAGTTGCCAGTCATGCTTATTATGCTTTATATCTACAAGCACAGTATAGCACTTTGTCTGGATTTTTTGGGTTATCCTAGGTAATTTACACTATATATAATTGTACATTAGGGCCCCACTTATACGGCAGGTTAGGTTCCAGGCTAGCGCTGTAAAGCGGAAATTGCCGTAAAGTGGAACACCTCTTTTTTCCACTTATAAATGCATACAAATACTAGATAACAAGTTTACACTAACATATATTAAGTTAGTAAGTAAGTTTATTCAGATATACACAAATGCAGTTACATATCATACATAGCAGCATATGTGTAAAGTACCTAGGATAACTCAAAAAAGTCAGACTGTGGCTTATTTCCAATGGGATTAGCAGTAGAACTAGGCATTAAAAAACAATAAAAAAATAAAATACACAGAGTACACTCATTACTTACCTTAACCCTTTTACTGTTTTGGTGGTATATATATGTCTTACGAGCCACCATTTTTGACGTATATATACTCATAAATTCTAGTGGCTTCAAATCAAGCAGGAGAAAGCTGGTAGGCCCACATTTGAGAGAATGGGTCTGTGTGGTCAGTGTGCACCATATAAAAAAAATCCTGCAGCACACATTTCATAATGAGAAAAAAACTCCGACCTTTTTTTTTTAATTAAAATGTCGACTTTGTGGTCTATTTTCGTATAGTATTTATGGTTGTATTCTAGTTTTCTTGGTCTCATTTGATAGAATGCAAAACATATTATAGAAATAGAGGTGATTTTGATTGGTTTTACTATGAAAAGAACCTTGAAATGGAGCTCAAAGTAGGGGAAATGTTTGATTTTTGCCAATCTTCAAAAGTAAACAAATGATGTAATTTTCCAATAAATGTCCAAGTAGCCATTCTGGTAAGCAGTCATGAATGGGTTGACATTATTTATTCAATTATATTACAATATTGCAGTAGTCTGCATAGCAGTAAATCTTCTATTTTTTGTTTGAATAAAAATTCAAAATAGAAAGCAAGAGTAATATAGGGGCCTGGATATGTGACTGATGAACAAAGAAAATGTTATTTTAGAGCCAGGAATGTCTGCATTGTTCATTCTGGACCCTATTTTGAAATTGTCATATTTTTTAATTTTCGTGAAATTGGCCAAATTGCAAATTTCTGACCACGTTGTTAGGTAGTTGAAATTGGTAAATGGGCAGTTTCTTGTACTCAATCGATAGAAAAAATGGAGTTCTAAAGAAATAGCTATGAGTTTGGTCTACTGGAACAATGGATTTAGCCAAAAATAGGGCTCAAAATGGGGAAATCGCTGATTCGTAAATAACGCCGAAGTTGCTAACTTCACGAAAGCATAATTCCGTTAGTTTTCCATTAAATTTCGTTCTTTTGGTGTCATTACAATCGGGAAAAGATAAATATTTTTTTTTTCTTTAAATTTTGCGACACCAGGAGACACCTCAGGATTTGGGGTTGCGACAGTCAAAGGGTTAAAATATTTGTAATCTTAATCTAGGGTGAGACAAGTAGTATTTTTTTGTAAGAAATCAAGTGTGGTATGTATGGTAGCCAGCCGGGCTACAATACCAGGCCACCTCATCCACACATAATATTCTATAACATTTAAGCATCCCAAAGCAATAAAATGCATATACAGTTCACTCATTACTTACCTTAAAATATTTGTAGTCTTAATGTAGGGTCAGAGGTAAGTAAACGAGATAAAACAAATAAATGAGAGAGAGAGAATGAGTACATGAGAGAGAACACTCGTGGATTTATGTAAACAAACCAGGCAAACATGAGTTATGTAAACAAAGTGTACACGTCTGGTTTGTGTACAAGTTGCATTGTGTACAAGTTGTCTCTATGTTGGTAAGGTAGGATCAGTAAAGAGGAACACTCCCATTCTCATGTAACACCAGTTTTTAGAAGAAAGACGCTCTGACTGAAGGCATATGAAAGGAATAAATTTCTACAGTTACCCCCAGTAACACATTTTCTCTTATGTTGGACTAGAGAAAATGTTATTCTTGCTGTCACTTGTACAAGTTGTCTGGCTCCCACATCTCATATTTATGTTTATTTATTCTACTGTGGGGTGTATTTATCATCTTTATATATTATGTATCGTGTTTATTACATAATTTTGAAAAAATATCATATCTGGATTAATAAAAATGTGTACTTTAACGTAATATACGACGTTTAATGAGACTCGGTGATTATTATCATTACTAATATAGCGTCACTCGTATAAGTTGTCTGGCTCCCACATATTTGTTTATTTATTCTACTGTGGATTGTATTGATCATTTTTATATGTTCTGTATCATGTTTATTATATAATTTTGAAAAAATATCATACATTGGTTAATGAAAATGTGTATATTAACATAATATATGACATTTAATGAGACTCAGTGATTATTATTGAGTATTAATATCATTACTAATATGGCATCTCGAGACATAAGACGCTCTTACTGATTTTAATGTGTACCTGCACGCCAGCACAGTGTGCAAGTTTATTTAGGTACAGGTATACTTAAGTGTAATTATCAGAGTATATATAAAATAACTTTTAAAAAACATGAAATTTTGGAGTTTCCAGACACA